GAAGCGGCCGCCGGATCTCCCCCAGTCTTCAAGGCACGCTACGTGGCTAGAGGTTCAGTCAGCGCGAGGGGGTTGCCTTCTTTCAGGACCTTCGCGCCCACCCCGAAGATGACCACTCTTCGGGTGTTACTGCACGTAGCAGCGCAGAGAGACTACGAGCTACACTCTCTTGAATTCTCCACTGCCTTCCTCCAGGGCTGCTTACACGAGGAGATCTGGCTGCGTCGTCCTCCGGGCTTCACTGGCACTTTCCCGCCTGGGGACCCAGTGGAGCCTCAGACGACCGGTCTACGGTCTCCGCCAGGCACCCCGTGAGTGGCACGACACTCTCCGCTCTACTCTCTCCGACCTCGGGTTTGAGCCGTCTTCCGCCGACCCGTCGTTGTTTGTTCGTCGTGGTCGTACACCTTTCTTCGTCCTAGTCTACGTTGACGACTTGGTTTTTTGCCACGGCCGACACAGCTGCACTGGCGGAGGTGAAGTCCGAACTGCAGAAGAGACACACCTGCACTGACCTTGGGGAACTGCGCCGCTACCTTGGCCTGCAGATCTCCAGGGACAGAGCCGCTCGCACCATCACTCTCACTCAGTCACACATGGTGCAGCAGGTTCTTCAGCGGTTCGGGCTTCAGGACTCTTCTCCTGCCCCCACTCCTCTTGCTGTAGACCACAGACTCACTGGGCCCTTTTCCTGACGAGCCGTTCGAGCCCAGTGGTCCCTACGCAGAGCTGGTGGGCTGCCTCATGTACCTGATGACGTGCACTCGCCCGAACCTCGCCTTCCCCCTTAGCATCCTGTCTCGCTTTGTTGCGACTGGAGACACCGTCCTGTTCACTGGGCGGCGGCTAAGAGGGTGGCGAAGTACCTTGGCGCGACATCAGGCATGGGGCTTGTACTTGGAGGGACACAGCCAGTTGTACTCACCGGTCACTGTGACTCTTCCTACGCTGACGACGTTGAGACTCAGAGGTCTACGCAGGGTTACTGTTTCAGCCTGGGTTCTGGAGCTGTTTCGTGGAGGTCTACTCGGTCCTCCTCTGTTGCGACTTCTACCGCTGAGGCCGAGATCTACGCTGGGGCCCTTGCTGCTCAGGAGCTACGCTGGTTGACCTTTTTGCTCACTGACCTTGGTGAGCGGCCGAGCTCTGCACCGACCCTGTTTGCTGACAACAGGGCGATGATTCTCCTGTGTCGTGAGCCTCGACTGGAGAGCCGAGTGAAGCACATCGACGTCAGGTACTTCCTCCTTCGAGAGTTCTAGAGACGCGGACAGGCTCGTCTGGACTTTGTGGCCTCCGAGGCCAACACTGCAGACATCTTCACCAAGGCCCTCCAGCCTTGTGACCACCGTCGGTTTTGTCTGCAGTTAGGCCTCGTTGAGACTGGGTCTAGTTGACTGCTGTAGGGTGCTCTTTGTCTGTTGCTTGCTTGTACCTTATATATATATTTGTTTGCACACTTTTGGACTGGCCTTGTGGCCCTTTGCTAGTGCTCAGATTAGGTGGTGACGTTGTGATCCACCCTGAGCTTTGTTTTCTTTCTCTTGTTTTTGACTGGTCTTGTGACCGTAGGTTGCTTGTTGTTGATTGGCCTTCCCCACTTAGGCTATGGGGTGTGTCAAATATTATAGCCTGTAGTGTGTTGGGCCATATGGGGTACAACTAGTTAGGGTTAGGTGATGTACCCCAATTCTGTCAACACAACGCATTCCGCTGTAGTTCTCATTTTGACACGAGTGGGCTCTCCCTCACTCGCAATCGCTTATGTGTACATGTGCACTGCTTATACCCCGTAAGGAATGACGATTCAGTCCGTTGAGTAATCTTTGATGCATCCCCTGTTTCGCTATGCCTTCGCTGCATACCTACCGTACCAACCAACCCAACCCAACCCACCCAAGCAGTGGAAACGACGGAGACCAAATTCAAATAGTAAAGAATGAATAGAATGGATTAGGGTGCATGGCTGCAGCCAGCAGAAGAGTCAGCTTGTAACAAGTGCGTATCTAAAGCTAAGACTGCAACCTAACTATACAGCCCCATGCGTGAACAACCACAGGGGAAGGAGGGGAGAGGAAGAAGGGAACCTTTATTACAAGGAGCGCTTGCTTCCTTGAGAAGTGGGGCAGGGGAGAAGGACCTCTGAGGCGCCTGAACTATTGGCAGGCAGAAAAGTGGTGGAGGGAGGGATGAGGCATAGCTATGCGTTTGTTGGTGGTGACAAGTTGCAAGTTGGGAGGAAGAAGGGGTGGAGAGAGAGAGGGAGGGACTAGGCGTTGATGTTGTGGCTGTCAGTGGTGGCAACAGCAGCTGGAGCTGCAGCAGCTGCAGTCACAGCAGCAGCAGCAGCAGCAGCAGCAGCAGCAGCAGCAGCAGAGGAAGCGGCAGGATGTTGCTTATGGGTGGAATCAAAAGCAGCAGAGGTGGTGGCGGGAGACAGAACAGAGCTGGACCAAAAAGGGGGCGTCAAGGGTCGCTGATAAACCAACCCCTTGCCTGCTGCTGCCATGCCCCCTGCACCAGCACCAGCACCAGCAGCAGCACCAGCCGCAGCGGCAGCCGCAGAAGCCGCGGCAGCCACAGCAGCAGCATTTGAACTAGACGAGCCAACCGACAGCGACGAGGGGACAAAGGGCGCGACCGATACAGTGTGACTATCAATAGACATTCTACCTGGGCTAGGCGCCTCCCACTTGCTGCTGTTTGACCAAGTCAACGCCCAGGACTGGTCTGACTGCGCGCTGGGACTGCTAGCAGAGAATCCTGAGAAGCCTTCATAGTCGGAGGTGGAGAGAGGGAAGGGGGATGGGGCCGAGGTGGAGGCGGTGGGGGTTGCTGCTGCTGAGAGGTTTGGGTGCAGAGAGCCTGCTGTTGCTCCTGACGAGGAACTCAGGGACGAGCCTGTGCTTGGCCTTCTTGCTCCTCCTGCTGCTCCTCCTGTTGCTGCTCCTCCTGCTGCTCCTCCTGTTGCTCCTCCTGCTCCACCTGCTCCGCCTTCTCTTCCTTCTTGTCTTCTGCTTCCCCTGCTGCCCCCGTCACCATCACTCTCTGCACCGCCACCACTCCCACCATGATCAGCACCACTCGTACCACCACCAGCGCCACCACCGCCACCAGAACCACCACCAACACCCCCACCACCACCACCACCAGACGCAGCAGCAGCAGCAGCGCCGCCAGCGGCAGCAGTGCGGGCGAGAAAGGCCTGCTCCCTCAAGAGGTGGGCGTGGATGTGGCGGTCCTCTGAGAGGCGCAGCAGCGCCTCCTCCGCCAGCAGCGTGGCGTGCCGGTTGCGCTCCCCCAGTGCTGCTAATGCTAGTAGGGATTGGAGACCTCCCAATGCCATCACCTGCGGGAGGGGGGGTGGCGAGAGGGAGGAGGGGGGGTTGGGGTGAGAGGGAGAGAGAAAAGACTTTCACTAGTAGCAGTGACAGCGCCAGGAGCAACTGCAGACAACGCAACGCCATCATATGGGAGGAGAGGGGGGGGGGGGGGGGGGGGGAAATAATCGACCACATCCCCTCCTCAATTATCACCCCGTTCAGAATCACCCCATCGCCCAGCAGGCTCTGCAGCCGCCCAGCCGACTGAGCCATGGCGCGACTGACTGCGTGACCCTCCTACTCACACTCCCCACACACAAACCCCTGTCCCCCACACACCTGTCGCTTGTTCTCGCAGTGAATGGCCAGGTACCAGAAGGCGCGGGCCGCCAGCCTCTGCACCTCGTGGTGGTGCGATTGGGCCATGGCGATAATCGACCACAGCCCCTCTTCCCGGATCACGCCGTTCAGAATCACCCCGTCGCCCAGCAGGCTCTGCAGCGCACTCGCCGCCACCTCCTGTATCTGCGCCTCGGCGGCACACGATGCGTTGCACAAGAGACGAAGCCCGCCCTCCACGGCGATTTGTAGTCTCAGCTCGGGGTTGCGGCAGAGGGCGGCGAGCGCGGCAATGGCAGCTTCCAGGATGTTTCCCGCCTCCATGGCGCAGATCTCTAGGACCTCCTTGAGACCCCCTCTTTGAAGCATCTGATTGGTGGAAGGGAGAAGAAAAGGAAACAAAAGAAGGGAAGGAGGGGGGGCGAGCGGACGAGGGGAGCAGGGAAAGAATTTGGGGGGGGGAAGGGGGTGGGAGAGGGGGAGTGCTTGAAGATGGGGAGTCATTGCGATTGAAGGCCGCCCTCCTGCACACCTTCAGTTCAACACCCACCCCCACATTCTCTCATTCCTTCTCCACACTCCCTCTTCCCCTCCCCTCCTCTCCGCACGCACAGACAAACACACACATCTCTCTCCTCCCTCACTGTCAAGCCTCCCCAACTCACCTCCTCTTGGCTGCTGGTCTCCACGCACACAGCAGCCAGCGCCCTCAGAGCCATCTCTCTGAGCTCCTCACATGCACCCCCACCTGCCCGGCTCACCTCCTCCTGGCTGCTGGTCTCCACGCACACAGCAGCCAGCGCCCTCAGAGCCATCTCTCTCAGCTCCACCGTGAAATGCTCCCCTGCTCGCACCAGCGGCAGCAGCAGCACTCACCCACACATACATGCATGCATAACACACATACACAGCAACACAGGGCTCACCTCCTCTTGGCTGCTCGTCTCCACGCACACAGCAGCCAGCGCTCTTAGCGCCATCTCCCTCAGCTCCACCGTGAAGTGCTCCCCCGCCCACACCAGCGGCAGCAGACACTCTCCCACACCCGCTCCCCGCCCCTCTTGTTGACGCACACAAGCTCACACACAGACGACCAACGACTCACCTCCTCTTGGCTGCTGGTCTCCACGCACACAGCAGCCAGCGCTCTGAGCGCCATCTCTCTGAGCTCCACCGTGAAGTGCTCCCCTGCTCGCACCAGCGGCAGCAGGCGTGGCAGCACGTCCCGGGCCAGGGCAGGAAGGCGGGTGGCGCTTCAACCCACACAGGCGCCACAACGCCTCACATGCCAGTGCCTGGGTTTCGACTGCCTGCTTGGACAGGGGGGGAACAGAAGGGGAAGAGAGCGGCAAGAAAGGGCAAGAATGGGGCGAGCGAAAGGAGAGAAGGGGGAGGGAGGGACAAGGGAGAGGAAGAGGGGCAAGGGACAAGGAGGGGGCAAGAGAGGGGCAGGGGGAAGGGCACGGGAAGAAAAAGCGTGGTCGCAAGGCGAAAGCGGAGCAAGGGAAGGGAAAGGGAGCAAGGTGAGGTGAGGTAAGCTGAGGTGAGCTGAGGTGCAGTGCGGTGATGCACAGTACAGTGAGGTGAGCACACTTCATACCTGCAGCGAGTTGTCGCTCATGACGAGGAGGTCGACCAATGAGAGCACACCAGCTGTACTGAACTCCTCCACCACCTCCGGCAGCACGGAGAGCTTCGCGATCGCATCCACTGCCGCCTTGGTGCCCTGCCATGAGGGGTGGGGGGATGGGGGGATGGTGGGGACGGGTGGAGGGAGGAAAAAGGGGAGGAGATCAGGGAATCGGCACAGATGTATTGCACTACCTCCGGCAGCACTGAGAGCTTCGCAATGGCATCCACTGCCGCCTTGGTGCCCTGCCATGGGAGAGAGGAGGGGAAGGAGGGGAGGGAAAGCGGAGGGAAAGCGGAGAGGAAATGACTCTTGAGTTGAGGAAAGCAGGGGAACGCCCCTCCACCACCTCCGGCAGCACTGAGAGCTTCGCAATGGCATCCACTGCTGCCTTGGTGCCCTGATTGTGGGGTAAGACGGTGGGAGGGGGGGAAGATAGGGACGGGGGAAGGGGAAGAGGGGGGGAGCACCAGCATTGAGAGCTTGGCAATGGCATCGCGTATTCAGAATCTGGTGAGCTCACTCACTTGACGTTACTTTCAAGAATTCTCACAACATAGCTCACACGCTCGTATCCTCCCACAGCACAGCATGTTCAGTGAGCTCACTCTCTCACTCACTCACCCACTAACTCACTCCCTCACCCACTCACCCACTCACTCACTCACTCACTCACTCAGTCACCCACTCAATCACCCACTCACCCACTCACTCTCTCACCCACCCACCCACCCGCTCTCACTCACTCTCTCACCCACCCACCCACCCACTCACTCACTCACTCACCCACTCACTCACTCACTCACCCACCCACCCACTCACTCACCCGGTCGTATCCGCCCACGATCGCTGCCTCGATGGGCTCTAGAAAGCCCGCAGAATAGACGAATTGCCGGTTGGCGTCTGGCTTGCAGAGGGCGGCAACCGCCCGCATGGCGGCCGCCCGCTGGTCGGCATGCTTGGAGTGAGCGAGAGGCATGAGAGGAAGCATATACTTGGCACTCGAGATTTGAAGCATGTCTGACGGGGGATTGAGTGGGGGGGGGGGAGGGGAGGTTGAGGGAGTGGGGAGTGGGGGAGGGGTCGGGGGGGACTTGAGAGAGAGGGAGAGAGAAAGAGTGATGGAGTGGGCGAGAGGCATGAAGGGCAGCATATACTTGGCACTCGAGATTTGAAGCATGTCTGATGTGGGAAGAAGTGGGAACGACAGGGAAAAGGAGGGAGGAAGGCGAAAGAACGAAGGTGAGGATGTAAATTTGAGATGAGTGTTTTTTAGGCGCCTCAGAAGTTATTTTGAGGCGCCTCAAAGAAGGGAGGAAGGCAAAATAAAGAAGGTGAGGATGTAAATCTGAGATGAGTGGGAGGGGTGAGAGGGCTACCACGAGGGGGACTCCCTCTTCCTTTGTAAGTTTCACTTTCAGTTTTCCTTGCTTTTGTTTTCGGATTCAAACTACTATGTTGTGTGCTCCCTCTTTTAGTGCAGGATCGGGGGGAGCGGGAGTCAACGGTGGAGGCGGGACTTGAAGCTACCACAAGTGCCCCCGATCCTGCACTAAAAGAGGAAGCATACAACATAGTAGTTAGAATCTGAAAAAAAGGCAAAGGAAAACTGAAACTGAAACTTACAAAGAAAGAGGGAGTCCCTTGTGATAGCTTGAAGACATGAGACGTTGACAAAGACAGGGGGGGGGCTACACCCACATGGATGTAGCAGCATACATACATGGATGTAGCAGCATACATACATGGATGTAGCAGCATACATACATGGATGTAGCAGCATACATACATGCCTCTCTATACCTAGCTGTGGCAAGGTTTGTAGCAGTAGCATACCTGCTTCTCTGTACATGGCTGTGTTTTCCAGCCACTCGAGCCCAAACTCCTGCCCCTCCCTGTCCTTCTCGCCCCCTGCCACCTGCGCGATGGCACGGTTAAACCGACCGGTCTGGCAGCGCCAGCTCCACTAGAGGGTTCAGCGCTCCCATCAGAATGGTCTTGTAGCTGGTGGTGTGGGGGGGAAGGGTGGGGAAAAGAGACGGGGAGGTGGTGTTGGATGTCTCACATTGCCTCACAACACCGCGCCACAGTGCCACCTGTGCTATGGCACGATTGCACCGACCGGTCTGGCAGTGCCAGCTCCACTAGAGGGTTCAGTGGTCCCATCAGAATGGTCTTGTAGCTGGTGGGGTGGGGGGGAATGAGGACGAGAGAGGGGAGGTGGTGTGGGTTGCGTCTCAAAGCCTCCCCAACACCTGCAACGGTGCCACCTGTGCTATGGCGCGATACACCGACCGGTCTGGCAGCGCCAACTCCACCAGCGGGTTCAGTGCTCCCATCAGAACGGTTTTGTAGCTGGTGGGGGGGGGGGGGGGGGGGGGGGGGGAGAAAAGGGGGAAGAGTGACGGGGAGATGGTGTTGGTTGCATCACAGTGCGTCACAACATCTTGCCACCTGTGCTATGGCGCGATGCACCGACCGGTCTGGCAGCGCCAGCTCCACCAACGGGTTCAGCGCTCTCATCAGAATAGTCTTGTAGCTGGTGGGGGGTGGGAGGAATGGGGTGGGGGGGGAGGAAGGGAGGGGGGTAGAGGATGGGAAACGAGAGAAAGGGGACAGGAGGGGTTGGCATAGTGTTGGCCACTCCACGACCCGTCACAACCCGAACACTTCTCCCCCACCACCATGCCACTTGACAACAACCCACCCCCCCTCTGGTGCTCCCTCCCCACCCTTCCCCCCCAATCACCGCACATACCCGCGTCGGGATTTCAACTTTGTGTCGAGGTGGGAGCGGTGGGTGGAGACGCGGTTGAGCGTGGAGAGTGACTGCACCACAATGTGTGAGTCCACCGTGGACTGGCGGAAGAGCGATGGCAGCCGCATGGCGCGCGATGCTGTGCGCACGTATCTGATTGGGTGAAGGGAAGGGATGGAGGAGGGTGGGGGAAGGGGGATAGGAAACATGGTTGAGCATGGAGAGCGACTGCACCACGATGTGTGAATCCACTGTTGACTGGCGGAAGAGTGATGGCAGCCGCATGGCTAAAGATGCCGCATGGCTTAAGATGCCGCATGGCTTAAGATGCCGTGCGCACGTATCTGAGGGGAGGGGAGAGGAGGGGAGGGGAGGGGAGAGGAGGGGAGGGGAGGGCGAGGAGGGGAGGGGAGGGGAGAGGAGGGGAGGGGAGGGGAGGGGAGGGGAGGGGAGAGGAGGGGAGGGGGGAGGAGAGGGGAGGGGAGGGGAGGGGAGAGGAGGGGAGGGGGGAGGAGAGGGGAGGGGAGGGTGGAGATGCATGAGATGACTTCAAGCAATGGCAGCCGCATGGCCCATGATTTCTGATTGGGCACAGTGCAGCGGAGGGAGGGAGGAGGGGGACGAGGCTCATAAGGGGCCATGATATGGAATGGATGGCGCACTATGGCCCCATCCCCCCCACCAGTGGGTAAAACCCCTCCCACACCCCCTTGTGCACCCCACCCTATCCCCGCCCTCACCTGTGGATGACGCGCACCCCCTTGTGCACCCCCCCCTCCCGCCCTCACCTGTGGATGACGCGCACTTCCTTGCGCAGCTGGCACGGGTGCGGTGCCGTGAAGAGCTGAAAAGAAACCCACCACGGTCTGCAACCCCACTTGTCAGTAACATCCCCCCAATTTCACCTGTGAATGACGCGCACTTCCTTGCGCAGCTGGCGCGGGTGCGGCGCGGTGAAGAGCTGCTTGGGCGTGCGGCCGAACTCCCTCATCTGCACTGTCAGCGCCTGCTGCACTGTGTCGTCCTCCACTGATGCCAGCACCTGGTGGTGGGTGAGTAGGGGAGGGGAGGCAGCGGAGGGCATAGAGGAGGGGGAATAAGTGGGGGAGCAGAGACGGGAGGAAGTGGCGGAGGAGGCAAGAACGGATGCAGTGGAGGAGGAGTATGGGAGGAGGTGGGGAGGAGGTAAGGGGAGCTGGAGTTCTACATGCAACGGACAGCAGTTCTACACTATGGCCCTGACGCAATTCATATAGTAAAACGAGTGGTTTATATAGAGTACGCACCTGAGCCCCAATGTCATCGTAGGTGAGGGGGTGAAAGACATTGTCTGCCTCTATTGCCGCCTCGCCCCTCTGCTTGCAGCCAAACACCAGGTTGATCCAATGGTGCAGCCTTTTTGACACATAGCTGATGTGGGAAAGGAAGGGTTGGGGAGGGAGGGGATGGGAGGTGGAGACGGGGAAGGAGGGTTGAGAGAGTGGAGGGGAGTGGGGCATGAGATGTTGCTAGCATAGCAGGGCAGCCAAACACCAGGTTAATCCAATGGTGCAGCCTCTTTGATACATAGCTGGTGAGGCCAAGGAAGGGGAAGGAGAATGGGGAAAGGGTGGTGGGGAAAGGAGAAAAAGAAGGACAGTGGCGCCCGAAACTTTCCTTGCAGCAAACGCCAGATTGGGATGTGACACGTTCAAGGGAGCGCCGGCCATGGAATTGGAAAGGAGAAACAACATTTAAAACCATACAAAAAAGATTGGAAGGAGACAAACAAGGAGAGGGCTTACGGGCATTCCAGCACTTGGCACATCTTGGCAGCAAAGTCATGGGCGTCGGTGGCCCAGGGAGGCAGCACCACATCCCCCACCGGCAAACCCAGTGAAGATTGCAACCAGACACATGGCTTACAGACCAGGGGACTTAGAGACAGAGAGGGGGCCTCACGGGCATTCCAGCGCTTGGCGCATCTTGGCAGCAAAGTCATGGGCGTCTGTGGCCCAGGGCGGCAGCACCACATCCCCCACGGGCACCCCGTCCTGCTTGACGCCTAAGTCCAGCCCTTGTGAGTTGAGCAGGAAGGACGTGGAGAGAGAGTAGAACTCCTGTGGCATGGGGAGGAGGGCGGGGAGGGGGAGTGAGAGGGTTTTCAAGTGAGCTTAACACCATTTCCGTCCGCTGTGAGTTGAGCAGGAAGGGCATGGAGAGGGGAAATCTTGTGGGTTTTTAAGGGCTCAACACCATTTTCCTGGCAAGAAGCAGAAAGCGGATGAAGCAGACCAGGGAGGAGTGAAAAAACTTGTGGCATGCGTGCTTGTGCCGGCACTGAGTTGAATTTTGAGGCGCCTCAGAATTCAACTCAATGCAGGAGTAAAAATCTTGTGGCATGCATGCTTGTGCCAGCACCATGGTGCAGCATAATGAGTGCAAGAAGAAGTGAGAGTGCTTACTGGAATAAGCTCCTTGAGGTCGGATGGGTTGTTGTATGCCCCCTCCCACATCTGATCACACACACATGCCATGCACGCATGCCATTGACACACACACACATGCCATGCACGCACAGATGAACACACACACACATCCACACATTTTTCCACACAATCACAAACACAAAGGTAAAAGCTTCTTGAGGTCATGTGGGTTGCATGCACACACATCACTGCCTCTTCCCCTCCTCCCCGTTTTCCCCCCTCTCCCCCCTCCCTCCTCCCCGTTTTCCCCCCTCTCCCCCCTCCCTCCTCGTTTTCCCCTCTTCCCCCGTTTTCCCCGCCTCCCACCCCCTCCTTCCTCCTCCCTCCTCCCACCACCAACTCCCCCCTCTCACCTCGGGGATGGAAGAGAGGAGGCGATCAGGCATGTCGAATCTTCCATTTTGGAGGCGCAGCATGAGCTGGGGGGCGTCGCGCACGCGCACATACACCACGTAGCCGGGCGTGGAGTAGTGGCACCCATACAGGAACGCCGGGGACGGCGTGCCCGGCACATGCGGCGGCACCTCGCCTTCCGGGAAGTTTCCCGCCCAGTCCTCGTAGAGCTCTGCTAGATCGTCGTAGCGCTGCCGAAACTTCTCCAGGCGGTCGGGATTGAGTGCGCCCACGGGCTGACAGAGGGTTGAGAATGGATGTGCCAAGGGGTGAAAAGGGGTTCAAAAGGGTGATTAGGTGCTCCTAGAGCTCTGCCAGGTCGTCGTAGCGCTGCCGGAACTGCTCCAGGCGGTCGCGGTTCAACGCTCCCACGGGCTGAAAAGGGGTGTGGAAAGGGGTAAAAGGGTGTTTCAAAGAGTGAAAAGGGGTTCAGATGGTTTTGCCAAGTACTATTAGCGCTGGCGGAACTTCTCCAGGCGGTCGGGGTTGGGCGCTTCCACGGGCTGACAGTGGGGTACAGAGGGATATGCAAAGGGGTGAATGGGGGTTTGAAGCGGTGGAAGGGGTTTCACAAGACAACATCTTGTAGCATGCACTCTCCTGACTACCTTTTCCAGCTGGCACACTTCTCACCCGCCCCATCTTTCACCCGCCCCATCTTTCACCCGCCCCATCTTTCACCCACCCCATCTTTCACCCGCCCCATCTTTCACCCGCCCCATCTTTCACCCACCCCATCTTTCACCCGCCCCATCTTTCACCCGCCCCATCTTTCACCCGCCCCATCTTTCACCCGCCCCATCTTTCACCCGCCCCATCTTTCACCCGCCCCATCTTTCACCCGCCCCATCTTTCACCCGCCCCATCTTTCACCCGCCCCATCTTTCACCCGCCCCATCTTTCACCCACCCCATCTTTCACCCGCCCCATCTTTCACCCGCCCCATCTTTCACCCGCCCTATCTTTCACCCACCCCATCTTTCACCCGCCCCATCTTTCACCCGCCCCATCTTTCACCTGCTCCTGCTCTCACCTTGCGTAGGTCTCGGAAGGTGGCTGGGGAGGTTAAGATCCAGCTCCCTGGTGCAATGGGGCGCAATAGGGCAATGGGACAGGAGGGAGGGGGGGGCGAGGGGGAAGGGGCGAGAGTTGGGGGGAGGGGTGAGATGTGAGAAACGGAGGGATGTGTAGGTATAGGAGATAAGGTGATGATTGAAAGCATAGGAGGTGCGTGCGGGAGGGGGAGGCGGCGAGAGTTGGGGGAGGGATGAGATGTGAGGAACGGAGGGGCGTGTAGGTGTAGGAGATAAGGTGATGATTGAAAGCATAGGAGGTGTGTGCGGGAGGGTAGGGACTTGAAATGGAGAGACGTGTGAGATGGAGGGACGTGGGGAAGAGCAGCAGACAGGGGAGAAGAGAAAGAGGAGGGCGATGGGAAGGGGAAGGGGAGGGGGAGCAGGAAGGGGAGATGGAGGGGGCGGGGAGGGGAAGGGAAGGGGGAGGCGGCAAAGGGAGGGAGAGGGAGTGTCAGAAAGAGCAGGAACGAGCGAGACCGCACATACTTGGAGGTATAGTCCGCAATAACCCAAGGAAACACGGGGTATTGCGAGAGGTCGTTGAAGGAGCGGTTGGCCTCGCGGTTGAGGTACATGAGGTAGTCGAAGTTGGAGATGCCGCCACTCACCCACTCCCTCACCCACTTGTCCCTGCTGCGCATGCTCTCTATTGATAGCCCGGGCTGGTTGGGGGGGGGGGGGGGGGGAGGAGGAGGAGGGGGTAAAGAGAAGACAAGGCATAGGAAAGGAGGGACAGGGAGGGGGGGGGGGGGGGGAGGGGAGGGGGAGGAGGGGGGAGGGGAGGGGGGGTGGGTGGGAGGGGAGTCTGTTCAAGTGAACAAACCCAAAGAAACAACGTACACAACGTGGAGCAGTCCTGGGCTGGCTGGCAATCGAGTCGAAAAACGAGTCGCCGTAACACAATCCGAACGCTGCGTTTTGGGACGCCTCAAAGCCTAAGTTAGCAGGACACACACAGTCTCACTCACCTGCTGCAGCAGCAGCGAATAGAACCGGGAGCAGTCCTGGGTTGATTTGAACGTGAAGTATATGCTGCCAGGGGAGCAGGCGGGGTAGGCGGGGGGAGGAAGGAGGGGGGCGGAAGAGAGGGAGAGGGGGCGCGGGATGAAGCCGTTGCTTAGCAACACAGCCCTGGGCTGTTGTGAACGTGAGTCAATGCTGCCAGGGGAGCAGGCGGAGGAAGGAGGAGAGAAGAGGAGGAAAGCGGTACACTGTGCAATGATGGGAGAGGGGACGAAAGGGTTGTGCAACACAAACAGCAATAACGTGGAAACGAGGGAGAGAGGGGGCTGGGCGGTACAGACATCAATCATGGGGAAGAACGGGGAAGAGGGCGAACCAGGGAAGAGGGCGAACCAGGGAAGAGGGCGAACCAGGGAAGAGGGCGAACCAGGGAAGAGGGCGAACCAGGGAAGAGGGCGAACCAGGGAAGAGGGCGAACCAGGGAAGAGGGCGAACCAGGGAAGAGGGCGAACCAGGGAAGAGGGCGAACCAGGGAAGAGGGCGAACCAGGAAGAGGGCGAACCAGGAAGAGGGCGAACCAGGGAAGAGGGCGAACCAGGGAAGAGGGCGAACCAGGGAAGAGGGCGAACCAGGGAAGAGGGCGAACCAGGGAAGAGGGCGAACCAGGGAAGAGGGCGAACCAGGGAAGAGGGCGAACCAGGGAAGAGGGCGAACCAGGGAAGAGGGCGAACCAGGGAAGAGGGCGAACCAGGGAAAAGTGTGGGGTGGGAGGGCGTGGCGGAAAACAGATATAGAGGAGAGGAGTGAATAAGAAGGGAAAACGAGCAAGCAGGGGGGTGGAGGGGAAGAGGGAGCTACCTGGACCATTGTGAGTAGAAGATCTCCACTCCGATCTGCATGGGGGAGGATGGGTGGAAATGGGTGGAGATGGGTGTGACGGGGGTGGGGGAGATGGGCGTGATGGCAGCAAGGGGGAGGGGAATGGGGGAGCTGGTAGGTCAAAGAAAGTCATTACTTCTTGTGGCACATACAGATGGAGGGAAGGTGGAGATTAACCAGGTAAGGTAAGTAAGCACACGAGCTCGAACGGTGTAGCTCACCCCGACCAATGAGAGCACCCACGAAGCTCGAAACGATGAGGAGACCAATTCTCAACAGCTCGCTCACCTCTTGGAGATGTGTGGATCGGCGCATGACAGCCGTGACGGTCCTAAGTGGATGCCGCACCACGGGACCGGCACAGAAGACACGACATTGAAGGGCTGGAAGTAGACGCTGTAGGGCGCGAGGATGATGCGACCCGGCTGCCGCTGGTGCAGCAGCAAACCCAAGTGCATGTTCCTCTCTAACTAACCCTCGCTCACCTCTTGGAGATGTGTCGATCTCCGCATGACAGCCGTGACGGTCCGCAGAGGGTGCCGCACGACAGGCACGGACGAGACGACGTTGAACGGCTGGAAGTAGACGCTGTAGGGCGTGAGGATGATGCGACCCGGCTGCAGCACGAGGGGCAGCATCTGCGACCCCACCAGCTCCGCCACCACCCTGTCATCCCCCTCCTCCAGCCACCCCGGGTTGAACCTCACCTGGTGGTGGGGAGGGGAGGGGATCAGGAGGGTGGGAAAGGAGAGGAAAGAAGGTGGGTGGGGGGAGGAGAGCAGGTGGGGAACGAGACCGGCAGAGGACATGATAACATGCAGCTGCCAGGGCTAGAAGTGCACTCTGTTCCCCCTAGAAGTGCACTCTGTTCCCCCTAGAAGTGCACTCTGTTCCCCCTAGAAGTGCACTCTGTTCCCCCTAGAAGTGCACTCTGTTCCCCCTAGAAGTGCACTCTGTTCCCCCTAGAAGTGCACTCTGTTCCCCCTAGAAGTGGACTCTGTTCCCCCTAGAAGTGCACTCTGTTCCCCCTAGAAGTGCACTCTGTTCCCCCTAAAAGTGGACTCTGTTCCCCCTAGAAGTGCACTCTGTTCCCCCTAGAAGTGCACTCTGTTCCCCCTAGAAGTGGACTCTGTTCCCCCTAGAAGTGCACTCTGTTCCCCCTAGAAGTGCACTCTGTTCCCCCTAGAAGTGCACTCTGTTCCCCCTAGAAGTGGACTCTGTTCCCCCTAGAAGTGCACTCTGTTCCCCCTAGAAGTGGACTCTGTTCCCCCTAGAAGTGGACTCTGTTCCCCCTAGAAGTGCACTCTGTTCCCCCTAGAAGTGCACTCTGTTCCCCCTAGAAGTGCACTCTGTTCCCCCTAGAAGTGCACTCTGCTCCCCCTAGAAGTGGACTCTGTTCCCCCTAGAAGTGCACTCTGTTCCCCCTAGAAGTAGACTCTGTTCCCCCTAGAAGTGCACTCTGTTCCGTACACTCCCACCTCTAGAACAGGTGGGTGGGTGCACTCACTCCTCAACTCCCTCCCCGCCTTCCTCACTCCCCCCACCCCTTTCCCTCCCCCCTCTCACCTCCTGCTCGTGCTCTTGCACGATCGCACTGAGCTTGCCCGGCTGCTCCCACGAGGGCCCCTGGGCGATGTCCAGCAGAGCCGACACGCGCGGCAGCACCGCCGCCAGCGACGTGTACAGCAGAGCAAAGGCAAAGGCGAAGTCGCCGCGGTGGTGGCGGTAGGGCGCGTGGCGGTTGCCCACCTTCACGTCTGTGCGCTCACTCGCACAGATGATCAGAAACTCCTCGCCCCTCTCTCCCCCCATGTGTGCCGCCCTGTTTGGGGGTGGTGGGTGCGGGAGGAAGGGGGGAGGGGGGAAGGAGGAGGGGAGGTTCGGGAAGGGAGCGGGAGGAGGGAGAGACGGGAGTGGCGAGAGAGGGAGAAGAGAGGTTGTGTTGATGAGGCATGAGGGGAGGGGAGTAACCCGGTGGTGGCGGTAGGGCGCGTGGCGGTTGCCCACCTTCGCGTCTGTGCGCTCACTCGCACAGATGATCAGAAACTCCTCCCCCCTCTCTCCCCCCATGTGCGCCGCCCTGGGGGGTGGGGGGAAGGGGAGGGGGGTGCGGGGGGGAGGGTGGGTGGGGCAGACAGAGAGGAACCCAACAAGCTCACTCGCACAGATGATCAGAAACTCCTCCCCCCTCTCCCCCTCCATGTGCGCCGCCCTGCAGGGTGTAGAGGGAGAGTGGGGGAAGAAGGGGAGAGGAGGGCCGGTCCGGGAAGGGAACGCGAGGAGGGAGAGGCGGGAATAGGGAGGGACGTGAAAGGAGAGAGAGAGGAAGAAGAGGTGGTGGCGGTGAAGAGGGGAGGGGAGGAGAACAAAGCAAACGCGAAGGCGAAGTGGCCCCTGTTGTTGCGGTAGGACGAGAGGTGGCAGCCCACCACCTTTCCATGGGTTCAGCTCACTCGCATGGGTCCAGGAAGGGAAAGGGGGGAGGGAGAGACAGGCCATGCGGCATGCCCAGTCAGTGCCCACGCCTTTCGAGGCGCCTCAAAAGTCATGCCCAGTCAGTGCCCACGCCTTTCGAGGCGCCTCAAAAGTCATGCCCAGTCAGTGCCCACGCCTTTCGAGGCGCCTCAAAAGTCATGCCCAGTCAGTGCCCACGCCTTTCGAGGCGCCTCAAAAGTCATGCCCAGTCAGTGCCCACGCCTTTCGAGGCGCCTCAAAAGTCATGCCCAGTCAGTGCCCACGCCTTTCGAGGCGCCTCAAAAGTCATGCCCAGTCAGTGCCCACGCCTTTCGAGGCGCCTCAAAAGTCATGCCCAGTCAGTGCCCACGCCTTTCGAGGCGCCTCAAAAGTCATGCCCAGTCAGTGCCCACGCCTTTCGAGGCGCCTCAAAAGTCATGCCCAGTCAGTGCCCACGCCTTTCGAGGCGCCTCAAAAGTCATGCCCAGTCAGTGCCCACGCCTTTCGAGGCGCCTCAAAAGTCATGCCCAGTCAGTGCCCACGCCTTTCGAGGCGCCTCAAAAGTCATGCCCAGTCAGTGCCCACGCCTTTCGAGGCGCCTCAAAAGTCATGCCCAGTCAGTGCCCACGCCTTTCGAGGCGCCTCAAAAGTCATGCCCAGTCAGTGCCCACGCCTTTCGAGGCGCCTCAAAAGTCATGCCCAGTCAGTGCCCACGCCTTTCGAGGCGCCTCAAAAGTCATGCCCAGTCAGTGCCCACGCCTTTCGAGGCGCCTCAAAAGTCATGCCCAGTCAGTGCCCACGCCTTTCGAGGCGCCTCAAAAGTCATACCCAGTCAGTGCCCACGCCTTTTGAGGCGCCTCAAAAGTTATGCCCAGTCAGTGCCCACGCCTTTTGAGGCGCCTCAAAAGTCATGCCCAGTCAGTGCCCACGCCTTTCGAGGCGCCTCAAAAGTCATGCCCAGTCAGTGCCCACGCCTTTCGAGGCGCCTCAAAAGTCATGCCCAGTCAGTGCCCACGCCTTTCGAGGCGCCTCAAAAGTCATGCCCAGTCAGTGCCCACGCCTTTCGAGGCGCCTCAAAAGTCATGCCCAGTCAGTGCCCACGCCTTTCGAGGCGCCTCAAAAGTCATGCCCAGTCAGTGCCCACGCCTTTCGAGGCGCCTCAAAAGTCATGCCCAGTCAGTGCCCACGCCTTTCGAGGCGCCTCAAAAGTCATGCCCAGTCAGTGCCCACGCCTTTCGAGGCGCCTCAAAAGTCATGCCCAGTCAGTGCCCACGCCTTTCGAGGCGCCTCAAAAGTCATGCCCAGTCAGTGCCCACGCCTTTCGAGGCGCCTCAAAAGTCATGCCCAGTCAGTGCCCACGCCTTTCGAGGCGCCTCAAAAGTCATGCCCAGTCAGTGCCCACGCCTTTCGAGGCGCCTCAAAAGTCATACCCAGTCAGTGCCCACGCCTTTTGAGGCGCCTCAAAAGTTATGCCCAGTCAGTGCCCACGCCTTTTGAGGCGCCTCAAAAGTCATGCCCAGTCAGTGCCCACGCCTTTCGAGGCGCCTCAAAAGTCATGCCCAGTCAGTGCCCACGCCTTTCGAGGCGCCTCAAAAGTCATGCCCAGTCAGTGCCCACGCCTTTCGAGGCGCCTCAAAAGTCATGCCCAGTCAGTGCCCACGCCTTTCGAGGCGCCTCAAAAGTCATGCCCAGTCAGTGCCCACGCCTTTTGAGGCGCCTCAAAAGTCATGCCCAGTCAGTGCCCACGCCTTTCGAGGCGCCTCAAAAGTCATGCCCAGTCAGTGCCCACGCCTTTCGAGGCGCCTCAAAAGTCATGCCCAGTCAGTGCCCACGCCTTTCGAGGCGCCTCAAAAGTCATGCCCAGTCAGTGCCCACGCCTTTCGAGGCGCCTCAAAAGTCATGCCCAGTCAGTGCCCACGCCTTTCGAGGCGCCTCAAAAGTCATACCCAGTCAGTGCCCACGCCTTTTGAGGCGCCTCAAAAGTTATGCCCAGTCAGTGCCCACGCCTTTTGAGGCGCCTCAAAAGTCATGCCCAGTCAGTGCCCACGCCTTTCGAGGCGCCTCAAAAGTCATGCCCAGTCAGTGCCCACGCCTTTCGAGGCGCCTCAAAAGTCATGCCCAGTCAGTGCCCACGCCTTTCGAGGCGCCTCAAAAGTCATGCCCAGTCAGTGCCCACGCCTTTCGAGGCGCCTCAAAAGTCATGCCCAGTCAGTGCCCACGCCTTTTGAGGCGCCTCAAAAGTCATGCCCAGTCAGTGCCCACGCCTTTCGAGGCGCCTCAAAAGTCATGCCCAGTCAGTGCCCACGCCTTTTGAGGCGCCTCAAAAGTCATGCCCAGTCAGTGCCCACGCCTTTCGAGGCGCCTCAAAAGTCATGCCCAGTCAGTGCCCACGCCTTTCGAGGCGCCTCAAAAGTCATGCCCAGTCAGTGCCCACGCCTTTCGAGGCGCCTCAAAAGTCATGCCCAGTCAGTGCCCACGCCTTTCGAGGCGCCTCAAAAGTCATGCCCAGTCAGTGCCCACGCCTTTCGAGGCGCCTCAAAAGTCATGCCCAGTCAGTGCCCACGCCTTTCGAGGCGCCTCAAAAGTCATGCCCAGTCAGTGCCCACGCCTTTCGAGGCGCCTCAAAAGTCATGCCCAGTCAGTGCCCACGCCTTTCGAGGCGCCTCAAAAGTCATACCCAGTCAGTGCCCACGCCTTTTGAGGCGCCTCAAAAGTTATGCCCAGTCAGTGCCCACGCCTTTTGAGGCGCCTCAAAAGTCATGCCCAGTCAGTGCCCACGCCTTTCGAGGCGCCTCAAAAGTCATGCCCAGTCAGTGCCCACGCCTTTCGAGGCGCCTCAAAAGTCATGCCCAGTCAGTGCCCACGCCTTTCGAGGCGCCTCAAAAGTCATGCCCAGTCAGTGCCCACGCCTTTCGAGGCGCCTCAAAAGTCATGCCCAGTCAGTGCCCACGCCTTTTGAGGCGCCTCAAAAGTCATGCCCAGTCAGTGCCCACGCCTTTCGAGGCGCCTCAAAAGTCATGCCCAGTCAGTGCCCACGCCTTTCGAGGCGCCTCAAAAGTCATGCCCAGTCAGTGCCCACGCCTTTCGAGGCGCCTCAAAAGCCATGCCCAGTCAGTGCCCACGCCTTTCGAGGCGCCTCAAAAGTCATGCCCAGTCAGTGCCCACGCCTTTCGAGGCGCCTCAAAAGTCATGCCCAGTCAGTGCCCACGCCTTTCGAGGCGCCTCAAAAGTCATGCCCAGTCAGTGCCCACGCCTTTCGAGGCGCCTCAAAAGTCATGCCCAGTCAGTGCCCACGCCTTTCGAGGCGCCTCAAAAGTCATGCCCAGTCAGTGCCCACGCCTTTTGAGGCGCCTCAAAAGTCATGCCCAGTCAGTGCCCATGCCTACCTGTCAACAGCGGACACGCAGCCAAAGGGAATGCGGAACACGGGCTCCAGAGTGCTCTTGGGCACAAACAATATCGACCCGCTGCACAGCTTCAGGTGCTCTGGAACCCGTATCCACATACTGAGACAACTCGCAAAACACCCACACCCAAACGCACTCAGGCCCCCACATATGTCATGCCCAGTGCCCGTGCCGTGCCTACCTGTCAACAGCCGACACGCAGCCAAAGGGAATGCGAAAGACAGGTTCCAGAGTGCTCTTGGGCACAAAGAATATCGACCCGCTGCACAGCTTCAGTCAGGTGCGTCGGGACTCAAAATTCTATCCAATGTCTGAGACGTCACACAATCGTCTACACACACACCCACATGCACTCAGACCCCCACACATGCCCACCTGTCAACAGCCGACACGCAGCCAAAGGGAATGCGGAACACAGGTTCCAGAGTGCTCTTGGGCACAAAGAATATCGACCCACTGCACAGCTTCAGGTGCCCCTGCACCCGCTGCGTGCCGCCGTTGGGGTAATAATTACACGCGTAGTCCTTAAAATAGTACTCCCCTTCCTCTAGCAGCAGTAGATTGAACCTATCCGGGCCTTCTATGACTAGTTTCTGACTGTTTTGATCCCCGCCTTTGCCTCCCCCTGCGCCTCCGCCTCCCTCCCCCGCACCTCCGCCTTTCCCCCCGAACAACCCCCCTGCCCCCGCCCCATGCAGCATCCGGGACAGCATGCGCGCGCTGCTTCCGCCCTTCCCCCCTCCCCCCGCGCCTCCCGCTCCGCCAGTACCTTCCTTCCGCCTAGGACTCGGCATCCCCTTAACCGTAATCTTTCTGCGCCGCGGGGAAGCATATTTGGGCAACGGGGGGTTCCCTGTGGGCCTTTCCGCACCCGCTCCCCCTGATCCCCCGAACCCCCCGAGCCCCCCAAGTCCCCGGAATCCGCCTCCCCCGCCTACGCTGCGCGTGCTGCTGCTTCCGCCGTCGCTAGGCGTGGGGAGGGGCAAATCGTCCGCTCCCCCTCCCTCTTCAGGGGGGATTTCTACATACAGTTGCTCGGCGCGCATTCTTCCCTGCCTTCGTCGCTGCTGCTGCTGCTGCCGCCGCTGCCACCCCTCCCCTCCACTCATCCCATCCTCACTTCCCCCTATGCCTTCTGACTCCTCCCCATCCGTCCCCTCTGTCCCCTCAGTACCCGTCTCACCGTCCTCCCCTTCCTCTCTTTCATCTACGCTCGATTCTGACTGGGAGTGGTGGTACCTCAACGGACTGGATTGCATCATGGGGCTGCCGGAGTGCATCGACGGACTAGATTGTCTCAGCGGGCTGTGCATCAACGGACTCAATTGCTTCAAAGGACTGCCAGAGAAAAACCGACCGCCTCGCTCCTGCTCCTTCTGCTTCCACTGCTGCCGCCCCAGCATCTGCCACTGCTGCTGCTGCCCCGCCTGCTGCCCCTCTTCCTCCTCCTGCTCCTGCTTCTCCTCCTGCTCCTGCTGCTCTTGCTGCTGCTGCTCCTGCTGCATCTGCTGCTTCTGGTCCTTCGCAGCTTTCCTCTGTTTCATCATCTTGAAAATTGACATCTTTCCAACTGCTTCCAGCCCCGACCGTGACCTTATCGCCGGTTCTGACTCTGACCGCGGGATTTCCATGGGGTGGCCCACTCCCGCGCCCTCCTCCTCCTCGCCCCCCTCTTCCCCCTCCTCCCCCTCCGCCTCCTCCGCCTCCCCCCGCCCTCCTCTCCTCCTCCTCGTCCCGCCCCCCACCCGCACTAGAACGACCAGACATACTGCCTTCCGCCGCTATTCCTAACTCCCCAACACCACCAGCAGCACCACCATCAGCAGAACTACCACCACCAGCACCTTCAAAACCCACGCTCCCGCTGCTATTCCGCCTCCCGCTCCTTCTCCGCCTGTGCTGCTTCTTCCCCTCGTTACTGTCACCTCCTCCCTCCTCCTCCACCTGACGCAGCGCCAGCTGGATGTTCCATGCTGGCGCTGACGTGGTCCTACTCAGCCGCCTCAATCCCCCAATCCCCATCCCCCCGCTTCCATTCGCGCTTGCGCCTGCGCCTGCGCCGAGCCCCACTCCCCCACTTCCGATCAGCCCAAACAGCCCCCCCCCCGCTATTGGCGCCGTCCCCGCTTCCCCCCCATGACCCGATACCAACCCCTCTGCGCCCAGAGCACCCGGAAAACAGGGGAGAATTTCCTTCCTCTTCCCCTTGCCCTTCTAATTCCCCTAACCGTTCCCCCTCCCCCTGCGCTTCCGCGTCAGCAGAGGAGATGGAAGCGGAAATGCTTTCGTCCCCGCCCAACGATCGGCGGAAGAAGAAAAAATTCGGGCTGGGAGTGCGCCGGTGGGGGCGGAAGGGGGAGGAGGAGGAGAAGGGGGAAGCGGACGTGCGGGGGGGAACGCCCCCTCCCCCTCCGGTATCGGCAATCCCGGCGGAAAGACTGGCATCCCTGGCATGTCGGAAAAGGCCTGCGCTAGCTCCAGTTCCCGCGCTAGGCACGCCGGCGGAGGCAGAGGCGGAAGCGGACGCGGAAGCGGACTCGGGGAGATCTTGAAGCTCCTCCGGATGACTGGAGCCGGCGGACGGGCAGGGGGAAGACGACGCGGTTCCGCCTTGACTTCCCCCATGGCCTCCGCTGGCACTTCCCCAAGGTCCCGGCGGGGGTAATCGCGCAGAAACTACGCCTTTCTCCGACGACGATCGGGGGAAGAAGGATCGGCGGATGACAGATCTGCCTGCGGACTCCCTTACCGTACGATGCGATCCCGAGGCCGCATCCGACGACGTTCCTTGAATCCCGCCGGCTGGTCCGGAATCGCCTGTAGGTCTAGGTGGTAAATCAAAAGACCGTGGCGCGGGCCCCGTTAGGGCGGGTCCGGACGGCGCATCTAAGCACCTAGCCGCCGCGGTGGTGGGTCGGGGGGGATTGGCGGAAGCGAACCCTAATCCTGCGCAAGAGCCGGCACCACTGGCTGCGGAGTCACGAACAGAGGGAGCAGCTACTGTGGGTGTGGCTGCTAGGGTTGCTGTCACAGCGTCTGCCGATACTGCTTCTGCTGCCTCTGCTGCTGCTCGTGGCTCTCTCGTTTCAGCTTCGGACGCTCCCGACGCAGCTGCAGAGGCTCGGCTCTGCCAGCTGTCGCTCGGACCAGACTGAGAGGAAGTCGGGACGGCGGTCATGGAACTGGCGTAAGTGGAGTGCGACGCGTCAGGAACGAGTGAAACGAAGTAGCGTGTTGAACTCTAGGGCTGATCTTGCAATGTACGAGTCTGGCGTTTGAACGAGCTGATAAGGGTAACCCTAATCGTCGCTGTCGTCGTCGTCGTCGCTTTCAAGGGAGAACATGATTGGGAATTAAGGCAAAGACCCAGGCAACTAAGGACGCCGAAAGGGTACAAAATGGCGGTAACCAAACGATTACAGCTGAATGCACTGACCTAATGAATCGGAAACTGAAGGTAAACACACTATGTCGTTTTCTTTGGGTTAACACGTTCTTCTAAACGTCGTGCCTTGAAAGCGGATGCGTATTATCACGAAACCTAACGAGCATTGCGAGTCTGTTTCGACGTATCATGCAATACAACTGGTCAACATACGTTCCTGGGGAAGCTATGTTAGATAAGATGGATTATGATAGTCACTACCAGACAAGTTAGAGTTGAGCGGTGTTGACGTAGCAATAGGCGAGCATCATAAAGCTCAGCTCCATGTGGTTGCTAAAAATGAGTCAGCCGAGCAAAGCAGGCAGCCATGATTTATGCTAAGGCACGACAGCCATCAGCCATTCCACAGAATCATCTGCCCTGGATGCCTCGGTTGTATCCCGCACCGAGCCAGTATCAAACCAGTGCCGAACCAGTGTTGAAACTGGCTATGGAAGGCACAGGGGTTAGGAAAGAGGTGAGGAGATAGGTCAGCACCTCTGAGGCTGACCGAGCCAAATAGTACCGCCACTCAGTGCGAACACCGGAACACCAAACCAAAACATTCCATTGAAGTTGGTGCTTCACCAACCTCATCCCTTGGTTTGGTTTGGGACCATACCGAAAGGTACAGTTGTGGGAAGAGATGAGATGAGCAAGCCTCCCTCCCTTCCTTCTCCCAGCCAGCCGGGCGCCAGGCCATCCCAGTGATGCCACACTCGAGTCAGCGACAAGCGAGCCTGAGGCGAGTCACTGTCGCTCGCACGGTGACTGTGCGACTATCCTCCCCTCCACATCGGTCGAGAGCGTGCGAAAGAAATCGAGCAGAGTAACCAGTTTCGTCTACGTTTGGATAACCTACGACTTCCTGGCACATGGAAATGACGGGAAGCAAACTTCGTCGTACTCCACAGCCAGATAGTATTCCAGGCTGGCGTGAAGGTTTTTTTACGGAGATACACGCGAATGATTGTCTTGCTTGTGATTCGCCCTGGCGTTTCTGCAGGCAGACGACAGGGAAGGGGACAAAATATGTCGAAATGCCAGCCTGGAAAACAGAAGCAAACAAGCATCCATTCCACATATGAACTGATGTCAGACAGAAATCTGGAATCCCCTAAAGATCAGTCAACACTCTTCATAGCATTTTAATAAGGCCCTTATGATATTTAAGCCATAAGACCATCTCATACAATGACACATCTCCCAAATTGCTTCCTGGAAAAACCTTGACCAGAGAGAAACTGGGCAGCATGACATTACTACACGTGTCATGGCGTTGAACCGGACCATGGGCTAAAGTGGGTCTGTGGCTCGGTCCACCAGCATATAATGGTACTTCTGTACATGTCTCCTAGAACGTGTTCCTATGTCTCGTATCAATAAACCGTATCAGACTTGCCTGGTAAAACTAGCGAGGGATTTTGGGTTCAGGGAATTTTTCAGTATGAGCCTGATACGAGATTCGCTTGATACGAGGCGTAGGAACACACTCGTACAGGCCATCATTATCACCCAGGCCACCAGCCACTTGTTGATGCACATGCCTTGTGTGTACCACTGCAGTTAGTCGTAACATGCACTTTTCCATGTCGACTTGTCTAGGTAGGACGGAGTTGATTCTTCTCAATTTTGGGCCCTCCCCTATGTCAAAACATATTGTTATGTTCTTACTCTAGGTTGTGTAGGTTCACACCTTAGAGGGTACAACCCAACTCTCTCGACATCCTTGTACCCCCTCCCTCTTACCTAATCCACACTCATTCCTCACCTAGCTAGTGATTCTAACATGGTATTAAGAGCACAATGCTCCTTAGGACCGAATTTTTAAAAGGGCCCACCACTACTATTTCGATCTACTGCCCGAGTCGCGCCCCTAGGAGAAACGCGAAATTCGAAACCGTGCTCTAGGCGAGACGGTTCCTTTTTCTGCCCTAGACGCGATTTTCCTTCCTAGTCACGTGCGACCCCCCCTGACCGCGCCCTAGCTACCAGTACAGCCCGCGTAGGCCCATCGCGAAGCCCGTACAGCCCGCGTAGGCCCGTCGCGAAGCTCGTACAGCCTGCGTAGGCCCGTCGCGAAGCCCGTACAGCCCGCGCCAGGCCGTCGCGCAGCCCGTACAGCCCACGTCAGGCCCGCACCCAGCTCGTAAAGCCCGCGCTAGGCCCGCACGCAGCCTTTACAGCCCGCGCCTGGCCCGCACGCGGCCCGTGTTCCTGCTGCACTCGCTGCTGCTGCTACTTGCTGCAGCTGCTCCTCCTTGCTACTGCTACTACAGCTAGCGCTACTCACTGCTGCTGCTACTGAAGCTAAAGCTGCTACAGCTAGTGCTGCTGCTGCTGCTGCTACTACGGCCCTTGCAACAGCTGCTACTGACTGAAGCTACGGCTGCTCCAGCTAGTGCTACTGCTGCAGCTCCTACTCCAGCACTTGCTACAGCTAGTGCTACTGATGCAGCTCCTACTCCAACACTTGCTACAGCTAGTGCTACTGTTGCAGCTCCTACTCTAGCACTTGCTACAGCTACTATTGACTGAAGCTACTCAACCTACAGCTAGTGCTACTGCTGCAGCTCCTACTCTAACACTTAATGGAGTTGCTCCTAATTGAAGCTACTACTGCTACAACTAGTACTACTGCTACAGCTCCTACTTCACTTGCTACAGCTAGTGCTACTGCTGCAGCTCCTACTACTGCACTTGCTACAGCTAGTGCTACTGCTGCTCTGCCACTGTGTCCGAGCCGCGCTGCCCAGCCCGAGCTGTCACTGCTGCTGCTACTGCAACTACTATTGCTACAGCTAGTGCTACTCGGTCTACTGCTGCTGTTGCCCGAGC